TATATATCTAACTAACAGGTAAGCCTAGCATTGCCTGGGCAAAAAATAAGTGAGGCATGTTTTTTAAGTAAGTACCGTTTTGATATTAAAAAAAACACAACTGCAATTTTTAAAATAATTTTATTCTTATATGGAAGCCTGTACATTAATCTACTTTTCAACATAATTTCCTCCAATATGAAGGCACTTTTCATATCGTAGAACCATCTTCTGAATTCCATCTTCATAGAAACCTGCCGCCTGATTTGCTGACCACTGCCGCACGGCGTTTTGACATCGTCGTAGCGCTGACTGCTAGATGCCTTTTCAAGTGGAGGAACAAGTGGTAGTCACTAGATCAGGGCTATACATAGGGTGATGAAATTGTTCCTAGCCATAAGATGTGATAAGGAAAACAATTCCCTTACTGAGCTTGCCACGCTTTTTGTTTTGGATGACAAAATCATAAAGTGTCTGTTTTCTCAAACTTTTGCAACAACTTTCTGCGGCAAGTCTTTAGTAATGACAGATGGTCGCCCACTACGCTCCTCATCATGGACATTAGTATGGCTATCTTTAAATGCTCTAACCCATTTTCTGACCATTCCATCGCTCATAATCTTTTTTCCATACATCTGACTAATCTGCTGATGAATGTCAGCCGCTTTCACGTCTTTTGCATTAAAAAAACAAATCACTGCGCATATTTCACAATTGGCAGGATTTTCAATTGTCTGAGACATTTTAAACACGCACAAACAAACGTAAAATGAATGAACGCTTCCATAATTGCGTCTGTGGCTAGCCAACAGATGTAAGTACTCAGCGCACATTCGCAGAACACGAACCGTAGCACTGCAGCAGTCCTATTTAAAACGGTACTTACTTAAAAAACACGCCAAATACAAACATTAAGATTATTAGATTATTTCATCAGGATATAACCTAGCAATTATGCTGCCCAGGCAACCTAGGCACTCCTTTTAAGTACAGGCATAGTGTAAAGCATAAAACACTTTGTTCAATTTACACCTTAAGGGAAGGTCAAAATTCTCTCCTAAAGGTGTAAATCCCTCTCCCATTTTTGACTCACAAACATGTTTATTGTTTCATTTTCTGCACCCTTTTTCAAACAAAGAAAAATAGAATATTAGGCTAATATTATTTTATAAAATATTAAATGAAGGCTCGAACCTCTTGTATTTAATTACTTAATTATTTTGTAAAATTAAAATAATGGATTATCTGAAATTAAGAATGCTTTTTGTTATTTTTATTTTCTTCGGTCAGTTTTGGTCAATCTGCCTCCCTGGGCAACTGCCCATCTTGTCCACCCCTATATTGGCTCCTATATTTTGTACTTATAACCCCTCTATTATATTATATTATAGTATTTGATTCATGAGCAATCTGCCAAGGAGGATGCATCCCAGAAAGACTTTTATGTAAAGCTGACTTCTATTTAGATATTACTAACACGAAGAAAACCCAGAAAACTCTATCTGGCCAGTATGTTGACCATGCGCAAACCCACGACCAACTACTGGTGTTTGGTGGTTTTATCCACTCGGTTACTGGCGGGTACTTATTGGGCTGCAGTTTGAAAAAATTGTAGACCTATGAATTCCCACTGTTGTCTGTCTGTCTTTTCATTCCTTAATCTTGAGAACGGAGTTAGATAGATGAAGACCAGACATGGAAATTGTAAGAGAAAGAGGACCAGATTAATTATATATGAACTTCTGATTTGTACCACATTATTTCAATACAAAAATTTTTCCTTGAATGGCGTTAATACATAACTGGCATGACTCTATTTCTAACAGGAAAAGTATGATGTACAGGGGCAAAACACTACTACACTCCAAACAGGCAAGTGCTATGTGCTACCTGTCACAGTAATGGCACGTAATAGCATGTCTACTTTGCACTATAATCATTGTTGCAGTAATTCAAAGAATATAATATAGTTCTAACAGGAAAAGTATGATGTACAGGGGCAAAACACTACTACACTCCAAACAGGCAAGTGCTATGTGCTACCTGTCACAGTAATGGCATGTAATAGCATGTCTACTTTGCACTATAATCATTGTTGCAGTAATTCAAAGAATATAATATAGTACTTAGTTTTTAAAATTATATCTTTTATTTGTAAGAATTATNAAACAAACCACAAAATACATTGAAAAAATAGGAACAAGCTAAAAATTTTGATGACGTTGACCTTTTTTTTCAGGCTATTTAGCAGTTCTAAAAATGTTGTATTGTTAAAAATATCTTGAATTCAACTACAGCAGGGGAACCTGAGACAGACCTTGACTGTGCACTCATTCCATTTCTTGCTCTATAACTGCATCTTTCTCAGGTTTGTCACAGTAATGGCACGTAATAGCATGTCTACTTTGCACTATAATCATTGTTGCAGTAATTCAAAGAATATAATATAGTACTTAGTTTTTAAAATTATATCTTTTATTTGTAAGAATTATATTTAGTTAATTATTTTGTTAAATTTTTTTTTAATAGATGGCACTACATGTAAAGTCAGCAATCAAATGTAGACAGAATTAATCAATATAGAGAAATCTAATTGATAATTTGGTGTGGGATGTACAGCATGATTTAAGTTAGAAGTATTTGAACTTAACTGTCGAGTTTTGTAGTAATTGGTCAAACAGCCTAGGCGTGTATAGTGAACAAACATACATACATCCTGTTTTAGATAATATCATAATAAAAATATTTATTCATGAACTACAATTCTACTCAGATTGTTTACTGATAATTTTTCATGTCATAATAAAGCAAGTAATTCTGAAGTTGATTAAAAAATTTTGGGATTAATTAATTCAAATTTATCCCAAGATTTATTTCTTTAGAGACAGTTGAATTTCTCTTCAGTTAAGGATTCCTGTTGTATCAGAAAAATTAAAATTGCCCTCAATATATTTATTAATAATAGATGATCAAATGAAAGGATAATTTGTGAGAAGTAAAGCATAGAGTTTGTTGATGCTGTAAGCTAGTCTTTATGACACTGTGAGCCAGTATGCAACAGGCATGGCCAGATCATTGCAATGCCTAATCTGATTCTAGCATTGCAAAATTCCATGCTCTACTTCTTGCAAGTTCTATTTTTATTTGATTATCTAATAAATCAGTAAATTTATATTTCATAGTGTAAATTTTTTCAGTAGAAAATTTTTATAGAAAGATTTTCTAAGTTATTTTTTTATATTTTGTGTATGGATGAAAAAAAATGTATCTATAATTATTTTTATTTGCAGAATTAGACCTGGATATTGTTACACAATTATTAGAGACAGATGAAGATAGCTGGGAAGATAAGAAAGATAATTTGATTCCTGATAATAAAGAAATGAAACATAATGAAGAAAAATCAGAACAAGAAATAAAAAATGAATTAGAGCTTGTAAAGAAAAGAATGGACGAACTTCAAAAACAATTACAGAAAAAAACTTCGCAAGAAAATGTAGAAAAAACAGTAAATGAATTGCCTGAAGATAAAAGACAAATAACAGAATTGACCAAAGGAAATAAAATGAAAGATATTGGTATAGATATTTTTATATCTCAGTCCAAATCAGTTCTAGCTAATAAAGTTACTGATGATAAAGCAAAAAGTGAAATTCATTCAGGAGAAATTGATTCATCAGATGATGAGATGAATGCTTTTGGAAATTCATCGTTATCAGAATTGGGGCGGGAAATAAAGAGAAATTTAAATCAGAGTTCCAGATCATTAATAACGTCAAAATTTCAATGTAAAAGTACTTGTAAGTATGAAAAAATATATTTATTTGTTATATTAGTTGGAGGATAAGGTAAATGATATTGAGTTAACTATTTAACTGTAAAGTAAACCCAGAAAACTTGAGTATTTTAGTTTTTTTAGTTCATTATCAGCAATAGAACTTGTTGAAAAATTTTTGTAATACCAAGTTTTTAATGTTAACTACAGTATTATAATTGCTTTCAGGGACAAATAGCATAAAAAGTAAAGAGTCTACATGCTTAAATGCAGAAAAAGAGACATCTTCAAAACCAGAATTTGAGATTTATTCTAATTTACGAATAATGTAAGTTTAAAAAATACTTATTGATTACAAATATTGAATTTTATTTTGTTTTAACATAGTTAATGATGTGTAATATAGGAGGGAAGAAACAAACTGGATAGACATAGTTAAAAAACTCAAAAACAGTTTGAAGGTTTTTCAGTTATTTTTTTTTAATCATAAAGAAATTTGATTCAAACATTACCAGCTACCTAAATACAGGATCTTCCAAAAAGAATGCTACCATTTTAAATTACTGTAATTATGTTAATTATTATCTGAGATGTATGTAGTATCTACACTAATCGATAGAATAACTGTTCAATCTGCATTCAAACATATGGTTGTCTACTGCCTATAGAAAGTGACATATGAAAATGGTGACTCCATCGTAGAGATATTTTGTGTTCTGTAATTTTTAAACTTTGTAGGAGTTGCAGATTACTCATGTTTCACAATGATGAGTAATTCTAACTTTACAAACTGCATCTCTAAACCAAGTGATTGCTGTAATTTGTCAGGTTATTATTAATTAAAGCATAATAACCTGATTAATTACAGCAATTGTTTGGCTTAGTATCAATACATCGGGCTTCGGGATGTTGATACATACAAAACATCTCTGTTGTGAAGTCACTATTTTCATTTATGGCACTTCCTAGAGGTAGTAAAAAACAAGACATTTGAATGCATATGGGAGTCAGAAAGTTGGACAGTTACTCTATTGGTTGGTATACATTGAATATTTTTCAGATAATAATTAATATAATTAGTCGTTTAAAATGGCAGCATTCTTTTTGGAAGACCTATTATATTTATTAGTTATGCCATTAAAATCTGTCATGTGATTATTTTGATTATAAAATTATATTAATATTAATTTTACTAGGAAAATAAATAGGATATACACAAATAATTTATATAAATATTATATGAAAGAATTGAAATTTAAATATTGAATAATATGCTTTAATATTGCTAAGAGTGTACTGATTATCAATATTGTTGCTGATTGATATTGTCACTAATATTATTTGGTCAATTAAAGACTAAATATTTTATAGAAAATTAATTATTAAATTAAATTAGAATTTTTTTGTTTTATAAAATATATGGTATTTGAATATAAAAAGTTATGTTGAATATTAATTATTTTAAACATTCAACTTGAAGTGTATTGAAATTAAATTCAAATAAAACAAACCACAAAATACATTGAAAAAATAGGAACAAGCTAAAAATTTTGATGGCGTTGACCTTTTTTTTCAGGCTATTTAGCAGTTCTAAAAATGTTGTATTGTTAAAAATATCTTGAATTCAACTACAGCAGGGGAACCTGAGACAGACCTTGACTGTGCACTCATTCCATTTCTTGCTCTATAACTGCATCTTTCTCAGGTTTTTGAGATGCTAACAGCATGATTATACACAGGTACAATGGGATGAAATAAATTTCTGCATTTTTTCTCACTTATGCTGATCCTTTTTTGCCCCCACTGTGGGGAATCAAAGTTGTCTTTCCATTTCTGGGTGGCATGCCTGTATACATTCAACGAAGAATCAGATTAAGTTTAACTTTCAGTAGATTATCTTTATCATCATAATTCTTTATACTAAATTCCCAAAAATAATCAAACTGGAAGCATAATATGTATTGTATGTCAGATGAAGAAGTACAGTATGTAGTTGCATTATATTAATTCAAATAGATATTTAGTGTTGGAGAAGAAAGGTGTGTAATTAGCACTTCCAAATAAATAGAAAGAAGAAAAGGCATTTTCTCCATTTGCCTATCTTAACAGAACAATTGAATTATTCTGAGAACTGAATTTATCTTTCTTACTCTCAGTGTTTGCAAAATGTTTCTTTATTTCATTCAAAAATTAGAATCCAGTTAATCAAAATTTTAATTTTATTTTAACATGGTCTTCATTATAAATTCTTTATTTCTTAAAATCAAATAACTGATTATTAGAAAATATTTCCATATTGTTGAAACCTTGAATGAATGCTTTATATTTAAAATACAATCTAAAACAGTCAATTATATTTATTTAAATTTTTTACAATTTTAGAAATCCTTTAATTTCTTCTTCAGTGATGAAAAGTAGAATGGAAGGACGCAAATTAGTTAAAATGTCTTCTATAAGATTACATATGAGGGGTAATGATATTGAAGGTGATTGGGTAACTGTTGGTGTTATAGTAAAAAAAGTGCCACCCAATACTTCTAAGAAAGTAAGTAATTTTAACATTTCATTGATTTTATAAAAGTTGATAATATAGATAAATTTCTTTTACTAAAATATTATTTATGTAAATATCATTATTTCCTAAAACCAGGCATATGGAATTGGTACACAGAGCCTCCAGTTCTGACTATACCCAAAATTGCTTCCAACTCCAACTCCATGACTCATCAGTAGCCAAATGGACAAAACCACTGGTAATTAGTTGTAGATTTGCACCTCACCACTGGACTAGCTATATGGAGTTTTTAGGTTTTCTCACATTTGTAACACCTGAATAGGGACCAGTTTCTCATAGAAAAGTCCTCCTGGGAAACATCATCTTTCATTAGATTATTCACATATCACATTGTCATATCATACAAAGAAATCAACCTCCAACTCCAGCCTCAGTTCAGATGAAGCATGCAATGTCATAACATCGTAAAAGCCATTTTTCTCTAAGTATGTTTTATTGAAGAATTGAATTCTAAATGCAATGCAAAAACATTGTGGTGATATTTTCACTGTAAGAGGCTCTATTTTGAAGTTGAATTTATGTGAAGTCATAACATTTAAAGTGCCAGAGTGCAAGTCAAGTCACATGACTTTTGGTGTGTAAAAAGTTACAGCTTATATTTATATTTACATCATTTTGATATCCCAGAGAATTTGTAACTTAGTGAGTTTTTGATCATTTTATTTTAAAATTGAAAAAAAT